TGCTACAAGTTGTCCATCTTCATTGTAGTACTTCCAGTATTCAGTAGCTTCAGACATTTCATGAAAAAGCAAAACAGTTCCCATAGAAGGAAAGAGTTTGTGGGCACATCGTACTTTCTTCCATTCCTTTAATCTTGAGGTGCCAAGACATCCAAGATTGCCCACATTCACTGTTTCTTTATAGGGAGAGTCAATACCCCTTTCTTCCTTTGAATCTTTTGGTGTTGTCCAACTTTTAAGATAAAAACAAATTTATATTAGGACAATAGCAATATTGCAATGGCCAATTTCCCCATGATTGGTACCGTAACAAAAAATATCACAGAAGAGAGCATCATCACGAACCAGCACCTTGAATTAGCTCCAGAGGCTCACCAATAAGCTACTGCAGTTTTAACAGAAGATGTTGATATATTTATGAATCCCCACATTCAGAGGGGGACAGGCAATGGCATCTCACAGTACTAAGGCTTATGAAAACATGAAAAAGAATCAGGTTATGTACAAACCATGCATCTCATAAAAGGCACACCTTAGCCCATGCTCCAAGGCTCTAAACCTGCTGTAATGAAAAACTCCACACAATGCAAGCATAAGCACCACTGCTAAAAGTACCAGGATTCCCTACCAGGGTTGTCTCTGTCTTTCCTAGAATCAATTTCACTCTTTTGGCTGTCAAGTTGTATAGCATGCAATAGGCTATCAGACTACAGCTCCCATCAGCTCTAGCCAGTACAGCCAATGGTCAGGAGGTGGTGGGAGTTGTATCGAGCCACACATTCCACATCAGTGGTTTAATTTATCCATTTGCCCACAACTTGCAGGAATAAAGCAGCAGTCCTTTACGCACAGATTTAGGGGAAAAAATATGCTGCTGGATGTTAACAACATATTGGCAACTCTCAGCTCTAAAGTCCTAGATGGTTTCTCTCAGGAGATCTTTAGAACATCAGTGATACCAATGCGTCTTGAAAAGCAAGGCTGCAAGAGCACCCACTTCCACCTTCCAAATGTAGCCAGATAAAAAATTACATAACTGGAGCACAAACCCAGTTGCCCTGATAAGATGCTCAAGCTAGTATAAAAACAGTCTATGGCCTATGCTGTCAAAAGATGATAACAAGAGCAATCCTATTGTAAAATAAGAACACTCGTTTCCAAAGCCTTTCTAGGCTCCTGCTCATAGGATGGAATGGAGGCACAGCTGCATTTGTTTTGAAGAGCCAAGTGACT